TTTTCCATAACATATCCATCTTTTTCCAATAGCATCTCCACTTGAAAATCAGTTGAGAATTTCCTCAGTTTTCAGTTTTTCAGACCTCTTCAACATTGAATTATGTACCAAAAATTCTCCACTGGTGATACATCTCTGCTTTATTGCTAAGTTCCTATACACTCCTAAAGCTGCACATTAAATTAAAGATACTTGTGGGAATAAGTTATACTTCCTCAAGTAGCAGTGCAAAATTACATTACTATATTACAACATCTTTAGTTTTGAATTCTCCTCTTTAAACTTCTACTATCCTGCTTTCCTTTTCTTTTTATTTATTTTATTCTTCTACTGCTACATCTATTCTTCCACTTCTGTCACTCTATTCTCTCCCACACGTTGGAAACCTCACTCATGTTTCCCTCTTATCTCATACTGTGATTACAATAAGTAGTTGTCATACATCTACCAAATGTTGAGTTATATATCAGATATTTAAAAAAATATCTTAATTTATCAGATGTAACGTGTCATTCTGGTTTCTGACAATGCAGTAGTTGAAATGGTCTTTTAATAAAAGACTACACATCAGTCAAAATTGATTGCGTATCTTAGATCTCCAACAGAAACAGAAAAATCATTGTAGTTTCTGCAGATGCTAACTGTGAATAACTTACAAGATTTAGTTCTGTTGTTATTACTATGGTCCTTTCAGTTCATTCTGACTCATAGTGACACTGTAGAAGGTTTCCAGAGTAACTGACTGGTGAGTTTGAACAACCAACCTTGCAATTCAAACCAATCTTATGCTCAAGTGTTTATCCAACAACAATACACTAGAATTCCAATACTACCTATGAAAATAAAATGTTTTTTTCAAGAAATATATAAGAATTGCTTTATTATGAATGAATTTTTTTTTTTTTTTTAAATAATTCAAACTGAAGTTCTATGCAAATTTTACAAAACTCCTTAAAATTTCTTTTGGAGGCAGTTACTGAAGGGAAATGTAATTATGCCTTATATTTTGTTTCCATCTTTACTATTTGAATTAGACTGTAAAACCTTACTTATCCTGAATATATATTTCATATAGCTTAAAGAATAACTACATTTTCAACGACAGTATATTTTCTCCTGGAATTGCATCAACTGTTTTCTTAACTGACTTGAAGCAGTGAGTGGAACTTGCATTTCCAGACTTTCTTATCTTTTCACCTTCAACTTTATACCTATAATGGGACATTTGTCATGAGATGACATTTCATATTCTTGTTTTCTCAGTCTCTTCTTCTTGTGGCCTGTATTAGTATTTATAACATATAGAACCTTAGCCAGCTGCCAGAAGGGAAGGAAGGTTTACCTGTCTAATAGGCCTATGACTTTGAGAATAAAATCTTTCTCCTTTTGAAAAACTTTATTTCAAGACTTTAAAAAAAATAAAAAAAACTTCAATAGGCAACTTTATTCTTGTTGGTTTACACTAACGTGTATACTGATAGATTATTAATATAATTGTACAATTGACTGGTTAAAAAATAGATTTCAGTATTTCCATGTAGAGCTATCTAGCTATCATGTTTTCATTTGAAGCTTGTATTTGAAACATATTTATTAACATTTTTTCTCACTAATACTGGAACCATAAGATGAGACCTGGACCACAAGGTCGGTTTGATATACAAGGTCAGCTGTTCATTCCCACCAGTGTTCCTCAGAAACCCTATACAGGGTCGCTATGATTTGAAACCAG